CGCTTCTCCCAAACCCTCCCCAGATGTCACATCTGTAATTACCAACCTTGCCAGGGGCACTGGACAAGCACAGCAGTACCTCATTTCCAACCCCACCCCTCCACCCCCCACCCCCCACCCCCATGCAGGCCTCTGCCTCCTACTAGGCACTATGCAGGGTGGAGGGAAGGAATGGAAAGATCCTCCCTGAGCTGCCTCATTTCTCTCCAGGTCTCAAAAAGGTGACATGACAGAAGGCTACCCAAGTCAGGTCACCAAGTCAGACCTTCAGAAGAGAGCGCTGCTAGGAAGCAGGTGTGGGTAGGATTTCCTCCCAGGCCTCTCACACCTGCCCCCCAGTAGCACGAGATTACCCACCTGGAGTGGGTAAGAGGAGAAATGCCAGTTCAATTCAAAGAGATGGGAAGTTGACACTCAGTAGAACAGGAAGATGGGAATCCACGGGGATGAAGGTAGATGCATATAGGAGGGAGCTGCCCAGAAAAGAGGAAAGAGTGAGTTTAAAAAGTCCCATCCCTGCCAGCCAGTGTGGCTCAGTGGTTGAGCATTGACCCATGAACCAGGTCACAGTTCCATCCCCAGTCAGGGCACGTGACCTGGGTTTCGGTCTCAATCCCCAGTAGAGGATATGCAAGAGGCAGCCGATGGGTGATTCTCATCATTGATGTTTCTCTCTCCCTTCCTCTCTGAAATCAATAGAAACATAAACACACACACACACACACACACACATATATAAAAGTTCCTTCCCCACCCAGACTCTGAAAAAGGCAGTAATATCCCAGTCTTTCCTCTTCCCATTTCCTTCATCCCACCAACCACCTAGGACTTGGTTTTATAGGCAGGGAAACTGAGGCCAAGTCCCCACCACATACTTCAGGACCCGATAATACCAAGTTGTGTGTGGTTCACCAACACCCCTGACCTGGCTCAGCCTCTCCCTGCAGCGCCGTCATTTAAGTCCAGCCAAGGCCAATCCATACCCTGGAATATGATTCAGCCATGAGAAGGAGTGCAATCTGACACCTGCTACATCGTAGATGAGCCTTGAAAAGATCACATGACGTACGGGAAGCCAGACACATTGGATAATTCCATCTATGAGACATTCAGGATAGGTAAATCCGCAGGCAGAATGCAGATTGGGGGTGGGAAGGAAGGAACTGCTTGATGGGCACTGGTTCCTGTTGGGTGGTGGAAAGGATTTCAGATAGAGGCCAGAGTTGCACAACCCTGAGAGTCTACTAAATGCCACTGTTCGCCTTTAAATGGTTAATTTTACGTTATGTGAAGTTCACCTCAAGTAAAAAACCAGCCAGCGTAAGGCACATCTCCACGTACCTTCCCACAGCAAGCACTCTTGCTCTATGGCGGCCTCCAGAACATACCTCCACACAGCACTCACGGGGCCAAGCGATCCACATGCTAATGCATGTCTCCCTGTGAAAACCCGTCTCATGCGCCCCTCCATCCCAGTGCCAATAGGAAGTGCCCCGCAAGGTCTGCCAGAAGAAGAGCACAAGCAAAGCCTTGCTGTCCTCCCAGCCCAGCCCTCTCTCCATCGCATCTTCAACCAGAACCAGAACCACAGCTGCTTCCATCGACTACCGAGCACGTCCCCTGTGCCCGGCACCGTATGATGCGCTCTCCACCTACGACTTCACTTCACACTCATAAACCTAAGAGGCAGGACCTATTTTAACTCCATGATACAGGTGAGGCTTCCAAAAGTTCTCTCTTTTTCTCTAAGGCAGTGGTTCTCAACCTTCCTAATGCCGCCACCCTTTAATACAGCTCCTCATGTTGTGGTGTCCCCCAACCATAAAATTATTTTTGTTGCTACTTCATAACTGTAATGTTGCTACTGTTATGAATCGTAATGTAAATATCTGATCTGCAGGATGTATTTAGGCGACCCCTGTGAAAGGGTCATTCCACCCCCAAAGGGTCGCAACTCACAGGTTGAGAACCGTTGCTCTAAGGCCACAAAACTAGGAAGTGACAAAACGGAATTTAAAAGCAGCTGAAACCCAGGGAAGGAGGCCTTGGGGACCTGGGATTCCTTGAGAAAGGCCCTATCTGGGGTTGGAGGATGGTGTCCTAAGACACCTTAGAGGCTGAGGGCTGGGTTCTTAAACCCCAGCATCGCATCACTACTTAGTGCTAATTCCAACCATGTTAGACTCTTCCCTTTGGCCTCGGAGTGTGGGGAGCTGTTGAAGGAGGAGCTAAGGAGACAACTGGAATCCCTAAAACTCAGAGGAAATGAGGAGAACCCCAGAACTCTTCCCTCCAAAGCTTCTGTTAGCCAAGGAAGTTCACCTCCCTTCTAACTGGAAGGACCGCTTGGAAATCAGAGAAGCAGACAAAAGTCTGTCTCGCTCGAGACCCAGGGAAGGGGGCCCTTCCTCAGACTTCCAGGGAACAGAAGGAGCAGCCAGTGGGCACTGCGGAGAGGCCTGCCTCTGAAAAGTTAGAGGAAACAGAAGGAGCAAGACGGGGGGGGGGGGGGGGGGGGGGGCGGGGAAGAGAGGGGGCATGTGGCCACTGGGTCCAGTCTGGACGTGCTTGAGGGATGGCACTTCTTTTTGTCTCCTTGGACGAGGGCCCCCCCAGTACACATGCACGCAGAGAGAGTGCACGCAGCAAGCAAGGTGCCAAAGTCCAAGCACACTGTGCTGGCTGCGGGCGCACGCTGGCCGCAGGAGCCCTGCCCATCAGACGGGGGCCAGATTGGAGGGAATAATGCGTTTTTTTTAAATCCAGTCTTTTCCTATCTGCCTCTATACCCAGCCCCAACATACTCTAACTCCCACTGCTCTTATCCCAGAGTCTTAGGAAAGGTGGGGAGTCTGAGGACTTACAGAGGAAACGTCCCAATGGCCTGTGCCCATTAGGGCCTCTAACATTCCAGTCCAATTTCCCAGAGACCCTACTGGCCAATCACAGTCTCAGCTCCTAAAACTGGGTGCCTTGACCTGACCTCTGCCAGCAAGAGGAACATGGCCGAGAGAGGGAAAGGGGCAAACAAGGAGCGCACCCGCAAGAAGGAAAAGGCCACCCCCTCCCCTCACTCCAGAAAAGACGAGAGAGAGGAGGCAAAGCAGGTGGCTGCTGCTTCTCTGGGAAGCGATACAGCCCCTTCCCAGGCAATAGGACTTCCCACGGTGCTGTCACGTGGTGGGGTGTGGGTACCTGCCCCTTCCCCAAATCAGGCATCTGCCCTCTTGCAAGCTCAGCCCCCATTCCTCGCTCTCAGACCTGGCCCCAGACCACAGCCCCGTCCAATCATGCTTCTTGCCAGTGAAACGGGAAACCATTTGACAAACCACACACACACATTTTCAAAAACTCCTGAAGACCACCCACCTCTGGCCTCCCCAGAGCTCCCATGCCACCTTCTCAACCCCATGAGGGAAACCCCAGTTGCTTGGCACCCGGTCGCATCCATTCCAAACCCCAAGACTCCTGGGGAACTGTCGGATGCTGGAAGCAGGGCAGTTAGTGGGCTCGGAGGCAGAAACCCCAAGAAAGCTTTCCACGAGAACAGTGGCCTGGGGGGCAGGGGGGTGAACTGGAGCTGGAAAGCCAAGCATGTAACCTCTCCAAGCACTAGAACCCAACCTATGATGAGGGGTTGGGGGTCCTTCTTATTCTTTTTCCTGATCCCTCCACTCCCTGATTCCTCCAGGACTATAACCAGAACCCCCTTTCCCTATTCCTCACAACACACATCCTTTGCTAGAAAAACCCACTTCCCAAAACAGACCCCTCATAAGATGGCCCACTCACTCTCACCCATACGTCTCAGCGGCTTAAGGCAGTGCCCGCGAACCCAGTCAGGGACACCCAAGAAGTCTCAGAAGCCTCCAGAGAGGCCTCCCTTTGGGTTTTCTGCCAGGAAAGTCTGCCTGCAGAGGCAAGAGGTGGTACCCCCAACACCCAGAAATAGGCACCACCTATGCGGGCACACACACACACACACACGCACACACACACACACTGGTACTTATCCACACACAAACCTTACGCACAGGAGCACAGATTCAGTCACATCGCTTCCCAGGACACAGGTGCACACACGCCCATTTGGATATGCCCCATTCTGCTCTTACACACCCACCTTCCTCCATACCTATGCACCTCTTTCCCATGAGCCCCCCCCCCCCCCGCCCCCCGGTCCCACAGACACACAGCCCTTCCCCAGAGTGTACCCATAAATCCATATCCAAACACACAGCAGATCCACGGCCGGCCGCTCCCTGGGTGCACACACACTCAGGCACAGAAAAACACCTCCACCTCCAAACCAGGGGCCCACCTGCAGGACACAGAAAACAAAGACGAGTGCACACTGGTCCCCCACCAGCCCTTTCAAACTCACCAATGCAGAGCCCCCCCCGCCCCCCAAATGGGTAAAGGGGAGTGGGGAGAGGGAGGCAGCGCATGCCCAGGGCCCGGGTCTCAGCCCGCTGGCCCCATCCTGCTGGCCCCATCCTCGGGGGCACAGACACACACACACACACACACACCCTCCACTCTCCAGGGCAGGCCCCCCAGACACCACTTCACACCCTGAGCCCCCTCCTAGGCCCCTCCCCACACTCCAGGGCTGCGAATGCACCCGAAGCGCCTCGCTTCCGACACCCGCAGACCCCATCCTCGCACTCCCGGTCTCTGGCTCTAACAGGCTCCCCCGAGATCATGCAGGCCCTCGCCCGGACCCCGGACCCCGGGCCCAGGAAAGTCCCCGGCTCTCCAGGCCCGGCTCCGCCCCCTCCCACACGCCCCTTCCCCTCCCAAAGTTGGGGGGGTGACTCGGCGGTGCAGCGGGGGATCGAACCGGAAGGGGACTGACCCACGCTCCCCTTCCCCCATTCGCCGCCCCGCTCGCTCGGGGGCCGGGCACCCCCTGGCCCCTGGCATGATCGTCCTCCTGTTCTGTTGCTTTCTTTCTTTTTTTTTTGCAAACTTTGCCCGCGCCCCGTGCCCCGGCTCACCCGCCGCTGCGACCTGCCCAGTGGCCTCGGCGGGCGCCCCGCCGCCCGGCGCCTTTGTATCCGCAGCGCCCCGGGTCGCTCCGAACTCCGCACTCCCAGCCCGACGGGTGGACGCGGGGGGTGAAGGGGGCTCAGCAGCCCGGGCACCCCCTCTTCGTCCCAGACCGCTGCCTCTGCCCCCTCAAGGCCCCGGGGCAGGGGGCCGGGGGCAATGGGGGCGCTCAGGCACCCATGGCGGACCCTGGTATCTAGAAATCGGGGATCAGGAATCGGGACTCAGACCGGGAGCCGGCGGCGGCGGGGGAGGGGACGCGGCGTGGGGCGGAGGGGCGGGGAGCCTCCCGGCGCCGCCCCCCGGCTGTTCCCGCCGCCGCCGCCCTCCCGCCGCCGCGCCCATTGTCTGCGGCCCGGCTCTTCCCGGAGTCGGCGCTCCTCCCACCGGCGCCTCCAGGTGCCTGCGGCCCTGAGCGGGCCCGGCGGCGGGGCCACCACCCCGCACCGCCCCGAGCCCCCATCGAAGGCCTGGGGACTCCTCGACTCCTGGCCTTGCCCAGCCTGCAGCCCCTCCTGGGCCGCTTTCCTCGACCCAGCGTCGGGGACCGACCCGAGCCCCGGGGGATGGCGGTGTTCAATGCTTTAGGGCCACCGAGCGGCTGCACGAAGTCCAGCGGAATCTGGGACATGGAAAGCTTGATCCTCCCCGCAACCCCCCAAACACACACACCACCACCCCCGAGCCTGGAAAAGGGGGAGTCACCCCGATGGTAATTAGTGGCGAGAGACGCACCCCCCTTCCCATGCATACGGGGATTTCCCCGACACCAGCACCACCATATTCCCCCGCTTCCAAAAATAATTTAATTACTTGGTGCTCCAGCTGCGAGCGGCTGCCGCCCGGTCGGTGCGGGGCGCTCCCTCATTAGCGCGCGCCCCTCCCCTCTGGTTTGAGCATCGGGATTAATTACAAAGGGAGCCCCGCCGTGGGCGGTGGGGGAGGGCGAGGCGACCGGGGCGCCCGGAGTTTGGCTGGCCTCGGAGAGGGGCCCTTCTTCCAGGAATAAAAATGCTTTGTCCTGTCCTGTCTCTAACCCCAAGCAGGCGGGGCTCTGGACCCCAGGGTTTCAGACACCTTGGAGTGAGTTGGAGGGATTACAGGGCGTCTAAAAATATCCGCAATCCTGGGGGTATTTCTGCCTTCAAGAAACCTGGTGGGGTTCGTGAAGTGGAGCAATGGACGGAACCCACCCAGAGTGACCCCCGCCATGAAAGTCACTCTAGGCTGTGGGAAATCCATGTTTCCTTTGGAAGAAATGAAAGCAGAAAGTATGATTATGTTATTCATATTCTTGCTGTGCAACCCAGCACTTACCTAGAATAGCAATACTTCAAAAAGACCTCCGCACACCTTTCCCTTGCTCTGCCAACACCTCAGCATCCTGCAGCTCCCCATCCTGTATCCTCTCTCCCAACCCTGTGATTAAGAAGTCCCAGGGAAGGAGATGCCCCCCACTCTGTTCCTCACTTGTTTGGGGGAGTTTTTGCTCCTCCCTGATGGATTTTTTTTTTTTTCCCTGAGACCCAATCTCGTCCCTTTCAGTCATCCATTCTAGCCTGACTAAAGATGAGGCCAGAGCCATCTTCACCTGTATCGGGACCATGCGAAGATGGAGAACCTTTAGAGACACCTTTGTTGAACCCTTGCCTCTCCTCCCCCACTTCCCACATACTGGATCAGCAACTGCAGACTGCACGGAATATCGGAATATGCAGAATCATTATTTCGGGTACCCAGATTTCTGCGAGCATCCAGACTTAGTTGCTTGTGTCTATCATGTGCCAGGAACGGGGCTGCACTGGGGGGTCTTGGCAGTGACCACAACTAGGAGTATGAGAGGAATGTTCAGGAGCGCTGGGGAGGGTAAAGGGAGCTGGGGCGGCCTTCAGGTGCTCCCAGCCCTGCCCCAGTGCTGGGCAGCCAGTGTGTAATCTGACACAGTGTCGAGCTGCCATGGCCCCGATTGACTATCCAGCAGGTTAGAGTGAACAGTGTTCACACGACGCTGGCCTGTGTCATAGACCTCACAAGGGCCCAAAGAACTGCACACACAGCTTAGATGACTCCGTAGGCTGGCCCCAGATAGAGCTCAAAACCTAGTCAAGATGTCAGCAGATACCAGGCAACAAGCTGGAATAAGCTTGGTCTCCCCTTTTTCTTCTCTGATGGTGAGATGGGGAGCTTTCAATTATATCTTTGTAACAAAACCTTTGGATTACAGAGGAGAGGTCCAAAATGAAATATGATTGGTCAGATGTGTGCCATGCAGCAATTCTCTGGACTGCCTTCCACCCACACCACCAGGATGCAAACCCCCTGAATCTTACAAATTCTTTTTTTTTTTATTCTCATCCGAGGCCCTAGCCAGTTTGGCTCAGTGGATAGAGCGTCGGCCTGCAGACTGAAGGGTCCCGGGTTCGGTTCCAGTCAAGGGCCCATTTGGGTTTCGGGTTCGATATCCAGTGGTGGGCGTGCAGGAGGCAGCTGATCAATGATTCTCTCTCATCATTGATATTTCAATCTTTCTCCCTCTTCCTTCCTTTCTGAAATCAATTTAAAAAAAATTTTTTTTAATTCTCACCCGAGGATATTTTTCCATTGATTTTTAGAGAATGGAAGAGAGAGGGAAAGACAGATAGAAACATCGATGCGACAGAAACACATCGATTGGTTACCTTCTGCACAACCCTTGACCAGGGCCGGGGCTGGGGAGGAGCCTGCAACCTGGGAAGGAACCTGCAACCGAGGTGCATGCCCTTGACCCGGATCGAACCCGGGACCCTTTGGTTCACAGGCCCACATTCTATCCACTGAGCCAAACTGGCTAGAGCAGTGGTTCTCAACCTTCTGGCCCTTTAAATACAGTTCCTCATGTTGTGACCCAACCATAAAATTATTTTTGTTGCTACTTCATAACTGTAATGTTGTTACTGTTATGAATGTAAATATCTGATATACAGGATGGTCTTAGGCGACCCCTGTGAAAGGGTCGTTCGACTGCCAAAGGGGTCGCGACCCACAGGTTGAGAACCGCTGGGCTAGAGTGATCTTACACATTCTTCTTTTTTTAAAAATATATTTTATTGCCCTAACTGGTTTGGCTCAGTGGATAGAGCGTCGGCCTGCGGACTGAAAGGTCCCAGGTTCGATTCCGGTCAAGGGCATGTACCTTGGTTGCGGGCACATCCCCAGTAGGGGGTGTGCAGGAGGCAGCTGATCAATGTTTCTCTCTCATCGCTATTTCTAACTCTCTATCCCTCTCCTTCCCTCTCTGTGAAAAATCAATAAAATATACATTTAAATATATATATATATATATTTTATTGATTTTTTACAGAGAGGAAGGGAGAGGGATAGAGAGTTAGAAACCTCGATAAGAGAGAAACATTGATCAGCTGCCTCCTGCACACCTCCTACTGGGATGTGCCCGCAACCAAGGTACATGCCCTTGACCGGAATCGAAACTGGGACCCTTGTATCCGCAGGCCGACGCTCTATCCACTGAGCCAAACCAGTTAGGGCGATCTTACACATTCTTAATTCACAGAACTGGGGAAAATAGAGACCCAAGAAGAAGCTCATGTGCCCCAGGGCCCAAGGGAGCTAGCCTAATTCTTCAGGAAGCTGGTAGGCACTGAGGTGACATCTAACCAGGATTTTCTCAAGGGGGCCCACCTTTAGTGACAGAGGGGGGTCAGGAGCCTGACGGACAACATCATGGAACAGATTGAACTTGGAATGTGCAGCTCCTAGCTTTGAGGACGTGGGCAGCTTTCTCAGTCTCTAAGAGCCACAATTCCTGTATATAAAATGGAACGAACAAGGTAGCAGAAGGAACTCCCTCCACATACCCATAATGCCCCAGTCAACTCCCAATCAAACTTCCCCTCTGTGTTCCATGCCAAGGGGATTCCTAATGCTTTCGGGAGTCTTGTTCAAGGAAGGGGGCTCCTAGCCAAGAGTCAGGGCCCTCCATAAACGCTTTCTCAGCTCCTCACCAGCTCACGGGCCTGAGGCTGCTGGGCCGGAACAGGCAGAGCAGAGGCTGCGCTGGACACTTGAGTCTCCTGGGAAAGATGCAAAGGGCTCAGGAGTGGCAATGGACGCTCTCCAGGGGTTTCCTGTGCAGATGAAGCTGTTCCTGTAAGTCAGGCCCAGGCCACAGTGGCAAAGGTTAGGTCTTCTGCTCTGGTGGAAAGTAATTCCCTTCCCCAGCACCGCTGCTGAGAAGGGGAATCCTTGGTGCCTTCCTCAAACATAGACGCTTCACACCCAGGCAGGGGGGCCATCACAGTTTGTAATGTGAGTGATTAGCCACTTCAGCCACTCCCAGGTTCGGGTGAACCTAGCAATGGACCCAGACCCCAGGCCAGAGCCACCATCCTTTTGCAGCCTGCAGATAAAACCGGGGACAGTTCCATCTCCCATGGCCTTTGAGCTCTTTCCCCAGCACCCACTTTTTTAAAAAGACTGTTTACAAGTGTCAGATCAAATCTATAGGAGAGACTGGGGACATGAGGGATGTGGGGGGCACTTATTCTGTCAAGAAAGGAGGACGCGAATCAGAGTTTGATTTAATGGTTCTCCAACGTTACAAGTGTTAGATCAAATCTATACTTTGGAGCAACTGGATTTTGTTTCACTGTTTTTTTGTTTGTTTGTTTGTTTTTAATTAAATCTTTATTGTTCAGATTATTACATTTGTTCCTCTTTTTTCCCCCCAGAACTCCCCTCCTCCCAGTTCCCGCCCCACCCTCCGCCCTCACTCCCCACCCACTGTCCTCATCCATAGGTGCACGATTTTTGTCCAGTCTCTTCCCGCATCTCCCACACCCCTTTCCCCACCAAGAATAGTCAGTCCATTCCCTTTCTACGTCCCTGATTCTATTATAACCACCAGTTCATTCTGTTCATCAGATTATTTATTCACTTGATTCTTAGATTCACTTGTTGATAGATGCATATTTGTTGTTCATAATTTGTATCTTTACCTTTTTCTTCCTCTTCCTCTTCTTAAAGGATACCTTTCAGCATTTCATATAATCCTGGTTTGGTGGTGATGAACTCCTTTAGCTTTTCCTTATCTGTGAAGCTCTTTATCTGACCTTCAATTCTGAATGATAGCTTTGCTGGATAAAGTAATCTTGGTTGTAGGTTCTTGGTATTCATCACTTTGAATATTTCTTGCCACTCCCTTCTGGCCTGCAAAGTTTCTGTTGAGAAATCAGCTGACAG